CACGTCTCTTGGACCTTCCATGCTCCCTCAGACTATATCTGGGGGCCAACGTATAGTTGAACCTGCAGTTGTTACAAAGCTATCCTTTTATGTGCACTGTTGATATGAATTACTTTCTCTCCTATATAAAGTTTTATTGTCACCCAGCTGAAATTGACTGTTTTCGCTTTCCATAGTCCTCATTACAAACTTTTATCACAAATAAACCCATTTCCAGTTCTTTCCTTGGTCAGTTCTTTGCTTGCCTGGTAAGATACATATCTATCTGGAAGGAAGTCCACTATCTTCTCTCTTCTTAAACTGGGATCATTATTTCAGTCCCTGACCTGTAATAGGTTGCACTTGCCTCCTCTCCCAATGGGTTAAGCTGAATTTTCTGTGTTTTGGGACAGTGGATGAAACCTCTCTGAACCAGTTTGCTCCTGGAAGTTTGTTTGCTGAACAGGTGCTCACTCCCGCGCAGAACACAGCTTTTGCACAGGGGTGGATTAAAATTTACTGGGGCCCTGGACCTACACTCCCCACCTCTGACCCACTCCCTGCCCTACAGCCATGGGCTCTGTCCCCAGCCAGTGCAATGGGAGCAGCGGCTAGAGCAAGATGCACTGCCCTTCAGGCCCATGGGTCTGCACTGGAGCCAGCGCCAGGGGTGTGGAGCCGATGCCAACCATGTGCATGCGGCATTAACTGAGCTCTGGGGGTGGCCCCTTGCCTTGCTGCAGCTCAGTCTGACTGCAGTGGCTTCTAGGGAAATCATGCCCAGCAGCCATGGCCTGCTGTGTCGTGCATGCCTAGCCTATCCTGGCCCTGGTTTCATCTGCATCAAGGCAGGGGCCCCTGGTCCTGGGTCCAGTTGGCCCATGTGTTAATACGCCTATGCTCTTGCCGGGCACAGTTTCTTGCTTCCCTTGCCTTGGTCTGAGTGCAGATTTCCTAGTCCCTTTCCCCTCATCATCCACCTTATGGCCAAGTTAATTGAGTCAGAAAGTTCCCCTGCACTCTAACTTCATGGTACCCAACTGAGATGCTTCCACAAGGGGAGTGTGAATAGACCATAGCATAGCCAAGTATCATCAGGACACACACATGGAACATCTCTTGGTAAAATTCCATGGGTAAAACTAACGTTATAACACGTCTGTTATCAGATAAGTCTATCACAAGATTATCTGATAGACTTTAGAGCTTTAAATCAGGATTTACTAATCAGGACTCATGGTAGAGGCAATATCTTTTATTAGATCAACTAGATTTTTGCAAAAAAAAAAATTCTTTAATTGAAAGCTTTTGGGGACCAACACCCTTCATCAGGCATCGGAGAAAAGATTGTAAAAGTTCTCCTGGGTAGAAATGAAAGTTCATGTTTCATAGGAGAGTTGAAGGTGGTAAAATCTCCTGTTTGGAAAAAGTTTGGAATAGGTGATTTATCAGTTAAGGCTGCAGATGTTGACATTCTGGTGACTGTTTTCAAGATGAGAGCGGACCTGCTCTTCTCTCCAAAGGCCAAGGAAGTTCAGGACATCAGCACAAGACTATTCAGAAGGATGGGAAATGGCTGATTGGCTTCACCATCTACGTCACTATCATGGCTTCACTCTCAATGGCATATAACCCTTAGTAGATGATATTGCCACAGGCTGCCATTTGCAATGAGACTCACCTGGCTGTGCAGCAGCACTTAAATACAGAAGCAGCATCGGTTCAGTATCCCAAAATCAGTAGAAGGCAAGCAAGGTAAGAGGCAGATCAACCAACATACAGAAAAATGCAGTGTGGGATAGCAGTGGGAGGACTGCCAAAGAGTAATGATGAATTGCAAAGAAGATGTGTCCACATCTACTTCATCATGGAACAATTGAGTATGATATTGAATGATTTATGTCCAAAGTGGATTTATTAATTCCAACAGTTGGCATATGGCTTATACCCTGAAGCATAAGGATTTATACCCCAGCAATTTTTGTCCCTCTCTGATGCCACTTTGGACATTATTATCCATACCAGTGTCTAATCCTCTTGTGTCTTTCACTAGGGATGAGTTTGAAAACATTCAAAGTGTCAGTGAGATAAATGTTTGCTTCAATGTTGTCCTAAAAATGTCTGGACAGGACCTGAGCGCTCCCTCTAAAGGCATTGCATTTTCATAGCTGCAGTATTTAAATGGCCAGCTTGAACACTGACTGAATACTGTAGGGTAGCTGAACTTCACTGCCAGCGTATAGCAAAATAGGAGAAAATGTGGGAAGATCCTTAAATTTCACACTTTTGTGTATGGTGTTTTCCTTGCAGCAGGATCTGTCAAGTGCACAGAATGTAATCAGTCTTGGCACTGCCATATGATGCCTTCACCTATGACTTAACAGGAGATCAAGGCATAAACCTAAAATCATGGGGGACAGGTAAGCTGCTTAATTAACAGAGATCCTAGATATCCAGGCTGGATCCAGATATGCAGGCATGTGCGGTTTGTGGTGCCACAAACCTCTTTGCAGTGCCACAAACTGCATGCCTGTGTGCCCCATGCTGCAAATTTGTGGCATGGGGGCAAAATTTGTTAATGGGAAATCCTGGTAGCAAAAAAGACCAAACAAAAAAAACCCTGCAGCAGAAAAAAGCAGTGTGGCACATGGCATAGCAGTGTACGCCAGCAGACACAGAGGCTCGGTCCTCCCAGGAGATGCTCTGGCTGCTGGCCAGAATGTCTCTCCTCCTCTAGTTCTGACCCAGCTCCTCCAGCATCCTGGGAGCTGGGAGGAGTGGGGAAACAGCAGTTTCCCTGAAATGGGGCATTTTGCCCAGCACCAAAGCACATGTGCAAGGGCATGTGTAGTGACAAAAATTTGTGCCACTACTTTTTTTTGCCACTACAAGCTCATGCCCTCTGCATGCAGGGAAGCTTGGAGGCTTTCTGGAGGACATCTACGCTTTTAAGAATAGAGCAGCTACCCTGGGAAAGCCCCACCCTTTCTGTACCTGAAAGCAACCAGGAGGTCCAAAATTCCTGATTGAGTAGAAGAGCTGGAGGTGGGTAAGATCAGGAGCATGCTGCTTTCAGGGGCAGCAGGGGACTGTGAAGGGAAAATGACATCAGGAAGTGAGGAGTGCAGCTGCAGAGGCTGGGGGAAGCAGGTGAGAGACTGAAGAAGAAAGGATCAGAGGGGTCTCAACAATGAAAGAAAGTCTGAGCAAAGACAAGAAGGAAGGTAAGATGACAGGAAGAGCCTGGCATATCCATCAGTGGGGACTCAGTATTGCCTAGATGTCTAGGGACATGGAAGCGAGTCTAGTCACAATAAGCTGTAGCATCCTTATTAATTTTAGTTTTTTCAAGAGCAACATTTATTAAATTATCATGATGATGATGATGAATTGTTGTTCACCTTTTTCTTTCAGGCTCCATGAGCTGAGTGATGTGGTAGAGACCAGAACCCAACCCTTGCACAGATCTACACAAGCAAATGATGAAGGCTTTCATCCAAAGTTCTCCCCAGGGGTCTCCCATTCTAAAGGCTGCATCAGAAGGATTGTCTGAGTTGGTCCCCGGTGTCTCTCATGGGCAGCACCTGCTGGAATCTCCTCAGAGATCTGAGGTAGAGGTTGTCTCTGTCTTCTCAACCTACAACCTATCTTCTACCAATAGGCTGGTGGTGAGTCTGACTTTAGGTCCTGTAACAGGGGGCCTATGGCCCGTCCACCTGTTTCTGGGCCAACCACCTGCCTTCTCTCCCACCATGCCTTGATGACATTTAATTAAGTTGTTAATTAGGCGGAAGGCTGCCCATTTTCTTGCCCCAGTGCCCCGGGGGGGGGGGGGGCGGCTATCTGTGGCTCCGTACCCTCCCTACATTGCAGCCCATGCCTCACAGATGGCATCCATTGTTGTCACCATCACCGGCCCCACTCTGGGACCCAGAACCCCACCTGGATCCCTCCACTCAGGCGGCCTACTCTGCTTTCATTCTAGGCTGCATAGCTCCGTGAGCTGTTCCCCCTGATGGGTGTGGTCTCCCCAGAACCTTTGGCTACTAGCCCTGGCCCACCTCCAGGCCAGTCAGAACCCCAGGCCCTCAGCTCTTGGTTTCCCTTGCGGTGGGCCCCTGGCCCTTCGACCCTTCTGGTCTTGGCCCCAGCTTGGACCAGTTAGGGGATTTCAAGACAGGTTCCAAGTCTATAGCCCCACTCTCACTCTGGAGTCCACCTTCTGGACCCTACAAGGGGGTAACCAACCCAGTTGTGGGAGCTGGGGTTATTAAGGTGCCCCAACCCACCTTTCACCAGGGTGATAACTGGCCTGGCATTTCCTGGTGACTCCCGCACCACTGAGAGCCCCACCAGGCCACCCACTCCTGGCAGGGTGCAATTTCAGGTCATGCCTTGGACCAGGAACCTCCTAGCCATCCCCTACAGCTCCTCCCTTACCTACAAGCAGCCTTGCAGCCAGGCAATGTTGCTGCCTGGCCTGCCAGCAGGGAACTGATCTATTTATTTAGGCAGCCAGGGAATCTAAAAATGGCTGCTGCAATCAACACCTGCTGGCTGTTTGGCTCTGATCTTAAAGTGGCAGACACAAACAGTCCTCTGCCACAGGCCCCAACCCAGAGCCCCTGAAATCAGTGGGAACTTTTTCATGCACTGAATGGCCTTTGGCATGCAAGAAGAAAAGGTTCCATCAAGAACTGGTGTGAGGAGGTTGCGTGAGACTATGGTTCACGATATGATTGGACTTAACTTGAGTTTTGGTGGGTTATTTTGTTCCTGGCAGTGACTTAACAGCTTCAAAATATCTGCAGGCAAGCAGGCTTTGATGTCAGATGCATTGGGCATGTGGACAAAGGCATCGCCTTTCAAATTAGCAACTCGAGGACTTCCTGTGCGGTTTCTTTCGGAGCATTTCTGAACAAATAATCTTCCATCTCCTGGTTAGTGTTTGTCTATGTTTAACAAAATAGTCAAGGGTTGAGCTCACACTGCCCACTCTCTCTCTCTCTCTCTGCTCAAGAGGCAAAGCTGGTGCAGGATTTAAAGTTCCTATGCAGTATTTCAGCCCTTGTCCTTGGATCTACAGCTACAAACTAAGGTAATGCTTCTATAGGGGCTTTGCTTTTTACAAAAGGTAATTTGATATATATACTGTAACCTTATGGTTAGGAGATAAGCAGCAATGGCTATAATGGATGTGGCTATAATGGAAGTCATCTTTTGTATGCATGTGTATGTGTCTACAGACCAGAGCTTAGTTCACTGAGATTTTCACAACCAAGAGCCTTCTTTGAGTTCATTTGAACCCTATAAAGTAAAAAAATAGTTCAAAATTTCCTTTCCAGTGTGCAGTACTTTGCATTAGTTGGTCCTGCATTTTATTTTCAATTATGTTGTAGATTTGCCTAGCTTGTTAGGTTTCTTTGGTGTCTTCTCTAGTCTTGATTAATTTGAATTACTTTGTGACATCTCTGCAGATTTTACCACTTCACTCTGTAGTCCCCTTTCCAGATCAATGGGGAATATATTAAATAAGATGGGATCTAGTACAAAACTTTAAGGCATCCACTTCTAGGATTGGGTATTTGACAGGTCAAAAATACTCTGCTAATTGACCAGTCAAATAGTTGTCAAATTTTGTTAATAAAGGTCAAATATTTTAAGCAATTAGAACAGCAGAGAGAAACTTTACTATTTGGTAGGTTAGATACATATACTTATGGCAAAAAATGTTGTTAACTGTTATTGTGAAACAAGGACATTGCAGTCTAAAACATAGTAGTGTGTGTTTATAACTATCAGTGTTAGATCAATGTAAATGTAAATGATACTAAAGACTGAACAGTTATTTTTGTTGGCTTTAATCTGGAAAGCACAAACAGTTACAAAAAAAATGAAATCAATTAGAAAAAAAACATGAAGAGCAACTATAAAAGGCCAAAGTCAGATTTTTAAATGCAGTTAGGCTAATTAGGCAGCAGGCCAAGTCTAAGCATTTTGCAGTTTGCATTTGGCAGTCACAGCAGATGACCAGTAAGAGAGGCTTTTCTCTGCTACTTTTCTATAAAGCCATTTTGTCTGGCCCCTGCTCAAGGTAGGATAATCTCTATCTAATCTATGCTACAGGATTGTTTGTCTGACTACTCCAGTTATGGCATCTGACCAAGTAGGCTGTAGCCTACCAAAGTTTATGACTTTCTGAATGAGTTTCAAAAAGTTTTTTCTTTCAAAAAAGGGAGGAAGGAGGACCCAGGAAACTATAGGTCTATTAGTCTTACCTCGGTCCTGGGGAAGCTCTTTGAGAAAATTATCCAGGAGCACATCTGCAAGGGACCAGCAGGGGAGATTATGTTTAGGGTCAATCAACATGGCTTCATTAGAGGCAGGTCCTGTCAAACCAACCTGGTTGTCTTCCATGACCAGGTCACAAAATCCTTGGACCCAGGTGTCGTGGTGAACGTAGTCTTTCTAGACTTTAGGAAGACCTTCGACACTGTCTCTCACCCCATTCTCATTAAAAAATTAGGCAACTGTGGCGTTGGTGCCTACACAGTCAGATGGGTCACAAATTACCTGGAGGGCCGCACCGAGAGTGGTGGTGAATGGGTCATTTTCGACCTGGAGGGATATGGGCAGTGGGGTTCCCCAGGGCTTGGTCCTCAGGCCCGCACTGTTCAATGTCTTCATCAGCAACTTGGACGAGGGGGTGAAAAGCACCTTGTTCAAATTTGCGGATGACACTAAGATGTGGGGAGAAGTGAGCACACTAGAAGGGAGGGACAGGTTACAACTAGATCTGGACAAGTTACAGGGGTGGGCGGATGAGAATAGGATGGGGTTCAATACTGACAAGTGCAAGGTACTGCACCTAGGGAGGAAGAACCAGCAGCATACCTACAGGCTGGGGAACTCCCTTCTCATCAGCACAGAGGCAGAAAAGGATCTTGGTGTCATTATTGATTCTAAGATGAACACGGGCCACCAATGTGAGGACACAGTCAGTAAGGGCATCCACAGATGCATCATGAGCAGGTCCAAGGAGGTGATCCTCCCCCTCTATGCAATATTGGTCAGGCTGCAGTTGGAGTACTGCGTCCAGTTTTGGGTGCTGCACTTCAGGAGGTATGTGGACAACACTGAGGGCCACACACATGATCGGGGGCAGCAGGGCAGACCCTACGAGGAGAGGCTATGGGACCTGAACCTGTTCAGCCTCCACAAGAGAAGGCTGTGCAGGGATCTGGTGACCATCTATAAACTTACCAAGGGGGACCATCAGGGAATGGGAGAGACCCTGTTCCCCTGAGCACTCCAGAAGTAACTAGGAGTAACGGCCACGAGTTGATTGACACTAGGTTCAGGCTAGATATCAGGAAGCACTACTTCACAGTCAGAATAGCCAGGATCTGGAACCAACTTCCAAGGGAAGTGGTGTTTGCTCCTACCCTGGGGGTCTTCAAAAGGAGGCTAGATAATCACCTTGCTGGGGTCATTTGACCCTATCATTCTTTCCTGCCAATGGCAGGGGGCTGGACTTGATGACCTGCTCAGGTCCCTTCCAACCCTACCAACTATGAAACTATGAAACTGTGAGTTAGTCTTTCGATGCTACCCTGCCCTACCTTTTGTCTTATTTCTTAAAAACATGCAAGTACTATGCACATTGCCAAAAACCACCAAGAACACCTTAATCTACCATAGGTAAAACATGGGGACAAAGGCTGGTGGCTCAGCAGGATCACTGATTCTTTCACAGACTCCCTACTTCCGGTAAATTTAAAGAAATTCTTATAGTAATTCTTACACTTTTAAGTATTTAGTCTTATAATTTCAGGTATTCATTTAGTCTTTAAATTCAGGTTACTTTTACAGCTGTATTCTTTGCCTTCCTGGTACTCCAGTGTTGCATGTCAGCTCCAGGGATTTCCTTTTGTTCTTTTCTTTTACTGGTGGCTATGTGCCACCTTAGTGATTGTTAATTTAATATATTTAATGGGAATTAAGGTTCCTCTGCACTCCTGAAATTATTCCCTTTCTCTTTCTTTATCCATATTTCTTTAACTCTTTAGTTATGCTACAGTGATGGAAGCCTTCTAAATATCATATATAGATCAGAGAGGATTTGGTATTTGGGTTGAAATTTGGGGGACTTCAGTATTCAGTTTTCTACTGAATATATTTTTGAAGGGGTACAAGTGTGTTCCATTTTTTTTGTTTTGACCCAAAGAAAAATCAACCACAATGGAAAAATGTTTTGATGGAAATTAACATAGAACCCCTAGAGGACAGGCTAGAGCAATTGGTGACAGATAGGAGGGACAAGGCTGAACTCTTCAATGAGTTTTTTGCCTCTGTATTCCTGAACATGGATCAAGACACATCTCCCAATTGCATTATAGATAGGCAGAGGAGGAACACCAGCCCACCAATGGTCAGCACCAACCTAGTAAAGGGACACTTGGAGGGGCTGAATGTGTTTAAGTCAGCAGGTCCAAATGATCTTCGTACAAGGGTGCTGAAGGAATTAGCCAATGTCATAGCGGAGCCACTGGCATGGCTATTTGAGCAGTCATGGTGCTCAGGTTAGGTCTCAGAGGACTGGAAAAGGGTTGATGTGGTCCCTATTTTCAAGAAGGGGAGGAAGGAGGATCCGGGTAATTATAGGCTGGTTAATCTCACCTCTATCCTTGGGAAAACTTTTGAAAAAATTATCAAGGATCACATTTGTGGGAGCCCAGCAGGAAACATAATGCTGAAGGGCAACCAGCATGGGTTCATAGCGGGTAGATCCTGCCTTGACTAACCTTGTTTCTTTTTATGACCAGGTCACAAAATGCTTAGATGCAGGTGCTGAGGTAGATGTTATATCTTGGATTTTAAGAAGGCCCTTGATACAGTATCTCATCTCATTCTCATAAACAAACTGAGCAGCTGTGACATAGATGACTACACGGTTAGGTGGGTGACAAATTGGCTTAGGGGTCGCACTTAGAGAGTGGTGGTGGATGGGTCGGTATCAACCTGGAAAGATGTGGGCAGTAGGATCCCCCAAGGCTCGGTCCTTGGACCTGTGCTATTTAATGTCTTCATCGGCGACTTGGATGAGGGCATGGAAAGCACTTTGTACAAATTCGTGGATGACAAGAAATGATGGGATAAAGTAAACACACAAGTGGGAAGGGATCGAATCCAGGTGGACCTGGACAGGTTGGAAAAGTGGGCAGACAGGAATAGGATGCAGTTCAAAAAAGACAAGTGCAAAGTGCTGCATCGAGGGAGAAGGAATCACTAGGACATCTATAGGCTAGGGGATGACCTTCTCAGCAGCACAGTGGCAGGAAGGGATCTCGGAGTCACAGTTAACTCCAAGATGAACATGAGCCATCAATGTGATGAAGTAATCAGTGAAGCTAACTGCACTCTATCATGCATTAGCAGGTGCATCACGAACATGTCCAGAGCTTCCCTTCTATGCGGCACTGGTCAGGCCGCAGTTGGAGTACTGCATCCAGTTGTGGGCACTGCACTTCAAGAAGGATGTGGATAACCTTGCGAGGGTTCAGAGGAGGGCCCCTCATATGGTTAGGGGCCTACAGGGAAGGCCCTACGAGGAGAGACTGAGGGACCTGGATCTCTTCAGCCTCCACAAGAGAAGGCTGAGAGGGGATCTTGTGGCTATTTACAAATTCATTGGGGGACAGCAAGAAATAGGAGATGCTCTGCTTACCAAAGCACCCCTTGGAGTAACTAGGAACAATGGCCACAAACTGACAGAGAGTAGGTTTAGGTTAGACATCAGGAAGAACTTCTTTATGGTAAGGGTTGCCAGAATCTGGAATGGGCTTCCAAGGGAGGTGGTGCTGTCCCCTACCTTGGGGGTCTTTAAGAGGAGACTAGACAAGCACCTGGCTGGGGTCATATGACCCTAGCCCTCTTTCATTGATTTCATAGATGTTAGGGTTGGAAGGGAGCTATTAGATCATCGAGTCCAACCCCCACTGCCCTGGGCAGGAAAGAGGGCTGGGGTCAGAAGACCCCAGCCAGGTGTTTGTCCAATCTCCTTTTAAACACCTCCAAGGAAGGGGACAGCACCACCTCCCTTGGAAGCCTATTCCATATTTTAGTGACCCTCACTGTAAAGAATTTTTTCCTGATGTCTAATCTAAATTCACTCTCTTCCAGTTTGTGGCCATTGTTTGCAGTTACCCCGACAGGCGCCCAGGTAAACATTGTATCCCCTATTTCTTGTTGTTCCCCCACGATGAGTTTGTAGGTAGCCATGAGATCACCTCTCAGCCTCCTCTTGTGGAGGCTGAAGAGGTTCAGGTCTCCCAATTGGTCCACATAGGGTTTTTTCTGTAAGCCTTTAACCAGACGAGTGGCCCTCCTCTGAACCCTGTCCAGGCCATCCACATCCCTTCCGAAGTGCAGTGCCCAAAACTGGACACAGTACTCCAGTTGTGGCCTGACCAATGCTGCATAAAGGGGAAGTATCACCTCCCTAGACCTGTTTGCGATGCCCCTACTTATTCAAGAAAGGATGCGGTTAACTTTACTTATTACCTCATCACACTGGTGACTCATGTTCATTTTGGAGTCAATTACTTTTTGGAGTCGATCCCTTTCCGTAGTTGTGCTACTTAAAATGGTCCCTCCCTGGCTGTAGGAGTGTTGATGATTCTTCCTCCCCAGGTGCAACACATTGACACAACCCAAAGTTGTGTTTTTTTGTTTTTGTGTGCTTCGGCACCGCTAAATTATGTTCCCGCCAAATTGCAGCTTCTTTGCATGGTGGA